TATTTCCAAATCAGAGCAGGTTAACTTCTGCTGCTTACTGCCTAAGAAGGTTCATTGCAAACATTGAGAAGTGGAGAAACAATGTAAGTTTCAACTCAGGCCAAGCTTAAAGCCAGAAGTCCAGATGAATGGCATAGTCCCGTGAACAAAAATTATGAAGCAAAAGCAGGTGCAGTATTCAAACGCCAAACTATTTTTTCCTCTGTGATGGGAGAGTGATAATACTTTGTCTGTTTGGAGAAGGCAGGGAAGGACCACCATGCTGCAGAGGAGGAAGAAATAAATCTGTATAATCTTCACATTAATCCCTCAGGTTTTGGGGGAGAACTGCTAATTTATGGTCCTGGACAAACCACATGGCTTACACAACCAGGTTATCTCAGATATTAGCTGTAGCTTATTCATGCTTATATGTGGCAATATACAGTAGCATGCCAGAAAAAAAGAGACTGTATTCTGACAAAAAGGTTCAGTTTTAACGTATACATGAACTGATTTCCATTAATATGTCAAGAATTGGAGACCCTTTCTGTATCAGAAGCTTGTATTAGTATCTGGTATGAAATGACTACCACCACTGCACCACGAGTAGAGTGAAGATACAAAGTTCCTTATAAAATTGTTTAACATTTGCCTTAGTGTTTAAAGGGGAAAGATCATCCTCCTCCCAAATACAGTAAAACAATAATGTATAGTGACAATAATGAAATTCTTTCACTTAGAACATAAATGGCAGGCATTATCACCCCTGTTGCAAGTGCCCTTCAGGGTGCAAAGTGCTAGAGCACAGATTCTATTGCAGTTAAACTGTGCTGACTCTTTGAGGCAGGAGGCCCTATATATTACACTGTTAGAGCTATAATTCTGATCACTATGTAACTTGCAGATGCAACATAAAGAGCTTGTGGAGTGAGAGTCCCATTGCAGAGCACCTGAATCCAGCCCTGGATTTGCAGAAGAGGCATGCACTCCGGATTAGGCAATGGGCAGATTTACTTCGTGAGTAACATGCAACCTTTCTGAACCTTTGAAGTGAAACCACCAGCTATCCAGATGAAAACAGTGACTCTGCTGAAGGAGGCCCTCACCTTTCTGATAAAGCTGGTAAAAGTAACTAGATCAAGTGTTAACCAAGAGTTTCATAACAGAAGATAGTAATTCATTAGGCAAATATCTATATCTTTCCTAATTCTTAGACACTAGTTTTATAGAGAGTTTCAGATATTACAATTCAGTAAAGTCGTCATTAACCTTTAGCTCATTTAGCCATTGGCAGAAGTATGCTTAGCCCAATAAACCCTTTCTGCCCCCTTGAACTTCATAATTGCTATAAAAGCAATTATAGAAGAAATGGGTTCAAATTATGTCAAAACATGAGTGGACTATAAATTCCCTGATCTATCCAGTAAATAATTTTTGTACTATTTAAGGGAAAAAGAAAAAAAAAACCAAAAAATAACCAAACTAAAACCCAGATGGAAACGCCACCATACTAATTTATTTCCATTTAGGTATGTATTAATCACTGTTAGGCCACAGAAATTGGTAGCAGTAAGCCATTAAGGTGTAAATTCCGATGTCAAAACGAATTAGTACATTGGCAAAAACTCCTGTGAAAATCTAAATCAATAAAAACTGATGGAACCAGTCCACTCTTGCAGTATAAGTACATATCCAAGAAAGCTCTACAAGCAAAAGCAGACAGTCTATTTTGGTATTGTAATATTAATTAGTTGTAAAAAGATAGATGAAACCTCAGATTTTTCTACTCAGAAGTCAGCTTTCTGTTTCAAGCACTCTGGGGTCTAATTCTGATGTTTCATGCAGGCGGTAAGATAAATGTGCACAGTACCCTCCTTACACTCCCTTTCAGCTACCTCAGAATTTCTGGAGGGCAGCCAAAGCAGTGACTTCTGCCTTAGTTTGCAGACAGCTCCAAAGAGTGGCTCTGGGAGAGAAAGGTGAAGATTTGAACAACGTTCCAAGACAGCCCAGCATCACACAGGTGTGCATACTTCTACTGAAAGTGGCTGGGTCCATTGTTTTCAGTCTTGCTTTTCCAGGCAAGGACTCAGGAAACCACCCAGAAGGGCAAGGATTCTCACTGTGAAGGAAGAGATCTCTTCTGCACTTCCCCTTCCACATTTGTTTTTCTTCTTTTTCACTAAAGAGAAGAGTTGAGACTTGTTGGGGGCCTGGGCCATCCCTGATCAGTTGCAGTCTGAAGATACAGAATGAGAGAAGCTGTCCACAGCTGGATCTAAATGCTCTCTAACTATCTTCTGCCATAGACAGCCTTTAGGGGTCTCCACAGCAGGACACAAAACAGAGCACTCCAGACCTTACCCTGATACAGTTATTAGCTGAAGTGTGTTGAGCCATGTGGAAACAGAAAACACATTCCCTGAACTGGAGCTGGTCCTGCCTCTCAGGCTGTCAGTAATGTTGGTCCTGCCAAGGCACTTGGCTATTTCCATTCTTTATATTTCCCCTTTTGTCAACTATAGTAAAGATCTTTCCTCAGTATTGCTACACATCAGTGTTTGCAGCTATCTGCTTTGCTCCTCTGCCAGGATTTTATTACTCAGCAGCAGGAATGGCAGACCCAGACAAGAACCTGTATCTCTGCTACTCTGGTGCACAATCTGACACATTATACCATTGGTGCAACAAGAGAGCACAGCAGTGTGGTCTTATCAGGCCGCTGAGGCACAGATACACATGAATGAAAGGCAGGGTAGGTAGGGACAGCAATATCTTAAATCATGCCAGTAACACTTCAGTGAAAGATATCTGTTAAATAACTAAATTGATCACTCTGCTCTCCATATGTATTCATATTTACCCAAAGTAAATAGGATACACAAAATTATAATCCAAACATTACATCAGAAAGTCCTTAACTTATCCACCTTCCTATATTACTTTTATGAAAGCATTTGTTAGGGTTCTTTTTTACATTACAAACATTATTTTTGCAGTTTTCATTAACGAAAGTTAGTTGCATATGATGTCATGCTGACTATACACCATTCATTTGTTCATTAGGTTACTTTTACACAACTAGCTAAAGAAATACTAAGGAAGACTAAAAATGGGTTTCTCAGTCTTCCACTGGACATTTACATTTCTCTCTGCAAAGCAGAAAGCATACATCAGTAAACAATCTTCTATTATGGCAATAATGAATGACATAAAAGACAGTCTAAAATGAAGCCCAACTATAATTCAAGAACATACCAGCTCCAGGGGTTATACAGAAATCCAGACAATTTGGAGCAGGGAACCTGTGTTTCCACAGGAGGTATACAAAAAGTTGTGGCGGAGAGAAGGAAGGCACTTCATTTGTGGGACATCAATAGCAGCTGATTTGCTCTTGGGCTCAGTCACTGCTGTAAGTCTCCTTTCCACCTACACAAGCAAGAAGATTAAGACAGACACTGGCCTGCATTCTGGCAAGGAGAGACGACTTGTTTAAAGAACCACCCCTTGGTAAGATCTCTTTTTTTCCCTTGCCCCACCTCCCTGTACTTCAAACATTTTTAAGCCTTTAGAAATCTGAGTTCTGAAGAAACTGGTTTTTTTCTCCTTTATTTTTAATAGGTAATCAACTAACCTGAGAACAGAACCTTTATTAGCAAACTGAAGATCAGGGGGTTTTACTGAAGGTATTAGACACCATGCGATTTTTTGGCGTTTGTGCAGACTGAAGGCATTGCTTTAGTGTTGCTTTGGTTTCTTACTTCCCAACCTATTTTAATTGGCAATAAGTTAATGTTCCATAAATCTTTTCAGCCCGTAGTGGTAACAGCTAAATGGTATCACTGTCTTTATCTTGCCCCTCAAGATCCTCCATCTTATTTTCTTCCTTCGTCCTGTTGAGGAGGAGGAGGGAGAGAGTAGCCAAGTGGGCATCTAGCAGCCAAGCAAAGTCAACCCATCAGAGAATGCAAGATTAAAACACAGCCTTCAGGAAAAGGAGTCCCCTGCCCCCCTTGTGTGCTTTGTCTCTTCCTCTTGTTCAGTGTAACAATAAGATTGTCACTACCTGCCCTGAAAATCATCACCACCACTGCTATGTTTTTTGCCAGCAGTGACCAGAATCCAACATTCAGACTTCTTGTGTCTCTGATTACCTTAGGAATTAGCTTATCAAGGTCATTCCTTGTTTTCAGCCTCTATAGCTTCTCCTGTTTGACCTCAGTTTATGTTGAAATAATTACAGAACTCTTTAATGCCTGGGCACTGCCTAATAATTCAGCTGATTTAGATTTGTGTATAATTTATTAGTCACACAGAAAGAAAGGTGCAGCTAATTACTTCATTGAGTTTTCCCTGCAGATGGAATGACCTGTCTTCCTTTATTGTCTCCATGAAAATACTATTCTTGGACTATTTCTATTATAATTCTGTGTCATTTTAAGTCACTGATGGGTTTCTGTAGGATTTGTGGAATGAGTAGTTTCACAGGCAGAGAAACCAACAGATCAGGACACAAATCAGGAGGTTCAGATTCTAGCTCCATCTCAGCTATCCCTTTCAACAAATGATTATTGCTGCATTTTGTGATGAAACACCTTATTTCTTCAGGACTTCTGTGTTTAGTTTTGGGGTTTCTCTGGTTTAACTCTTGATTCTTCACAGTTAAATTGATTTATTTTTTTTAGTTTTTCCATAGTTTTATAAAGTTCCTGATTTTTTTCCATAAAATTTAATTTATATATTTGTAATTGAAAAAAAATCATTTACTTTTCTAACTCATACTCTTATCCATCATCTCCTTCATCTTTATTGTATATTTTTAAAATTGGTAGAGAAATGAGCTAGCACACAGAGAAGTCAGTACTTCTGATAAATTCGTGAAGTCTGGTAGAAGTCCTAAAGGCTCACACTTTTCCAGACAGAGCTAATATTCTGTCTGGAACAACTCCCAAAACAGGCATGTTTTAACAAGTACATTTATGATTAAGCTGAATTGTGAAATCAGAAGTACGTAGAACTGGAAGGCTCCTGACAGGGTTTAACTTTATTCAGAAAGGGAAACAAACACAAACAGGTGCAAAATCCTCCCAGAATTTCCTGAGGCACAGAAGTCCTATTTACAAAGAAGGAAGCCAGCCCTGCTGAACGGTGATCAGTTGTCCTTGTCTCCAGCCACAGGGAGTGTGATGGGCAGCTCCAGGGGTTTCAGAGGGCATGGCACTCCAGCAGCCTGCATGTTCCTCTGAGGTGGGGTTCTGGATGTCTGTCCAGGTGTTCTCAGCAGGGGTGGCCCCTGTGAGAAGAGGTCCGAGCAGCAGGGTGGGCATTTGCCAGCCAGCCAAGGTGAACCCATTCCATGTGGGCAGAGAGCAGTTCCTTTCCAGGCAGGCCATTGTCCCCAGAGCCCTGTCCACCTGGCCCACAGGACAGATAGAGCTGGAGATAGTTCCTTTCTTTTCCCGAAGTGTTTTCCAGCATATACATCACAAGGATAAGCCTGGGGTTTCATCTTTCCATTATAAAGCCATCCCAAGTGGCTGTACAAACAGACTATATGCCCCACAGGGCCTACTTGCCAAAGCATGGTATCCTTGCTGGGAGAGAAGGTAGGAAGAAAAAGCTTTTCCCATTTAAAATGCTTTCACCTTCACCTTGGAATGTGTAATACCAAACACATCAAATAGCTCTTCTGGAAGAGACTTATCTTTTCCTCATGATACAGTCAATATGAGACTGTTTCCTTGCCCTCTTCTCCAGAGTCCATCCTAGGCAAGCAAGAGAGGATATAAGCATTCCCATGCCATACTATAATCAGGACACTGTGAGCTGTATGACAGCCCACAGGCTTCAGAGCAGGCCGGACAAATTTATGGGCTGTAGCTATACCCAGAGTTATTAAATACAAAGGCAACACTTTTGGTTGTGGAAGTGCCTGAGCTAAATGGTAGAGAATGGAGAACATCTGCAGGGAGCACTAAGAGATGCTCTCCATACTCATACCACTGCTGGGGATAGAATCCTAAGCTAGGTAGCCTGGTAAAGCTCTCCTTCAGCTCTTGTTATTGCCACTGTTCAACAAAATCTTTTCCAAATTTTACTGAAGCTAGATAAAAGTCCTAAGAAAGCAGTTTTCAAGTCCTTTGCATAGCCTTTCCCTCTTCCAGCAATAGTTACATGACTATTATGTCAATTTTCTGTTATCACATTCATACTTATCAAGCTTGCTTCAAAGGGAGAATTAATAGAACAAGTCCAGTTGTCTCCTGGCAACTCATTTGTGCAAAGGAAATATGTCTTTCTAACAAAGAGGTTCTGTGTAGATCAAATACATTTTTTGAAGTTCTGAAAAGCATTTGGGAAAAATATTACAGCACAGGAGAAACCTCTGCTAGTTGTATGACACTTCCTTTTGTTTTACACGTCAGGATTGAATTATTCAGAAGGTATAGCTTCGGAAAACATTTAATCTACGTATTGGACTGCATAATAAAAATGTGACACCCAGAAATGATGGGTAGAAACTACTGTCTGTCTAGTTAAATAGTTGATTCTAACTGTCTTTCCTCTGTATCATTGTACTATGACATGGACCAAGATCAGAAAAGTTAGAATTTTTCTCATTTCAGAACTGTAATTTTGTCAAAATTATATTTTTGGGAGTTTGAACTACTAATTGAACATGCACAGTCATAAAAAAATTTCAGAGGAAAGAATAAAAGTCTTATTTTTACCATTTTTACCATTTTACCACTGCTCTTTTACTATTTCCTAGTTCTACATAAAATTCAGTTACTCACTCCATAATCAGATTACCCAGTTAGAAGATGTTGTGTTTCTATTAATTGCAGAAGAATAAAGAACACTGTGAATATTTTCAGGCTTCTAGAAGCACTGAAATGACCATAAAATGCTCAGACTTAAACAGTACATTGACACAGTGCTTCTAATGATTTTATATAATATCATTTTTCCTTTTTTTTTACTGTGAACTTCATAACTTTTCCAAAGATGCCTGGAAAATGAAGGAGGCTAAGAAAACTACCTTACCTCTGTTAAGATGCTGTGTGAACCAGCAGACAGAATCATAATAGGTTCTATACTTGAAAATTTGCATTCATTGCCATGACACCAAATCTAATTTTGTGATCAGTTTGGACAAGGACCTCTCTGCCACTGACTGCCCTCCCATCAGCTGTCCACTGCTAAAGCAAACATAAGTCGGCGTTACTTAACATAATTCTCAAAAGTGTAAGATAACAGTAGATGGAAGCTAAACCTTAATCTACCCACTCTCCTTTGTGATACCACATCTGAACAAAGTGATATATTTTGAAAAAACTCCTCAGGACTATTTATTTAGTGACTTATACTTTATTAGTTCTGTACATTTCTGGATGTTTTACTCAAGAGAAAAAATTTCAAAACACAGTTAAAATGTCTTAAGAAGTAGCATCATCATGATGTTAAAGAGCCTTTAGAGAGACCAGTATTTTTACTGCATAATTTCTCATCACGTATTTTGTCCTTCCCCATTATCTGTGTTTTGGTATGTTTTCTTTGCCAATAGAAGTTAATCTGAAGAAAGTTTTCAATGGTCTTTCTAATAACCAGAGAGAGTAATCTACAGTCTCACTTCAGAACCTTAACACAAAAAGCTGTTAACAAATGATCATAATAACAGATACAATTATTATCATTGCTAAGCACAAGGATCATTTTTGTATGTAGTTTCATTATCTGGTTTTCCTATGATATCTTTTTAAGTTAAACATATTTTGAAGTAAAAAGGTTATAAAAATCATAAACACCAGGCTGGGAAAAGCCACAGTAGCTTTAAGTCAATCCATGGCTATTCTGTCTGAGGAACTGATAGAGCTGGACCTTTGGGATCATCAAATCTGTTGTTTGTTGTGAGCTGCATGATCATATGGATGCCATAGGTCAGGATCCACAGTAAAATTATAGATGTCACCAAGCCCATCCAAATTCCAGGAGTGAAGAAACCTGTACAGTCACTTGCATAGGAAAACTGGTTGTTTATAATGTTGAAGCCTTGAATCTGAAAATGAGAAAAGGCAGATAGAAGAGTGCAATTAAGCATAGTCCTTACTTTCAGGATATATTTGGTAATTACAAAACCCCACAGCTTTTAACTATCAATCATACCCTCTGCCCATTAAAAAAAGAGTGAGAACAAAATTTTCTGCATAACAATTTTCCAGATCTCCTTTTCACACAGGAAATTAAAAATGTAGAATCCATTTCTTTGGTAAGCAGTACGTTCCCCACTTCAGAAATTTGTATTACTTATAGAAGTAAAGTCCCAGAGGGGACGTATGGTCAGTTTTCTGCATTCTCTGTATTCTGATTAGTATTCTGTATTCACATAATCAGTATTGTCAGTATTCACTGGTCATCAGCTCTATGACCACTTCAGAACCAGGAAACTCAAAGCACTCAAAGGCATGAGAGTTAAGGCTCCTCAGACCACGAGATTTGTTGAAATAGTCTGAGAGTTTTAGCTAAGATTTCCTTGACAGAGGAGATAGACAAAATTCCTGGAACCTACTTTAAAACACATCTAATATGACCTTTTTTTGGCTGAGAGTTAGTGAGAGTTCAGGGAGAAAAATCTTGCAAAATCTTTCTTCCTCCCTCCTTGTAATTCAAAGTCTCAAAACAGAAGGAAAGGCTTGCTTTACTGAGGCATGGGATATGTGTTGTCTATTAACTTATAAAACCTATATAAACCTTTCCAGCAGTTAGAAAAGTTTGTAATATCTCTGATTTGACTGAATTCACATTGTCTACCACTGACTGTCCTCTGACCATATTATTTTCCTCAAAAAAATCAACCAATTTGGAGATACGGTCTCTGTCTAGATGCCAATTGTACAAAAATACCAACAAACTGAATGCCTTTGAGACCAATGACTTCCTAGAAATTTTGTTCAAACCAATCAAAGGATTAGAAAACTATGAAGAAAGGGAAGACAATCCCCCCTCTACAAACATGCACATAATGGTAAGGGCACTGATTCCTTTAGAAGGAAGGGAACAAAAGTGATGGAAGAAGAGGAAGGAAAGAATTAATCTGATTCATTTTGATTCATTCTTAAATAATTTTATAAAGAAAAATTAAGAATGGGATTCTTATACATTTACAGCATCTATGAAATGGGTGTGTAAGGAAAGCACCAAATATCAAAAACCCACTGGTAAAGAAATGACATGTTAAAAATTACTATTTTCCATAAAATATTATCAAATAAATTTTTTAAAGGATTATTTTATTTAAATCACTTCTGTCACCCAGCAATAAGCACGAAAGCAGAAGATCATGGATTTCTACTTTTATGTGTTCCCACACCATGATTATTCTATGATTTACAATAAAATAAATGGAAAGCTTAAGTTTATGTGTGGTAATAAAAGAGTTTGTACTTCCTAGGAAAGGTGTTGGTACAAACCAAACAAATCTACCAGGCAACAAACACACCAGTAATTACACACTCTGGGTTTGTATTCAGGCATGGCTCAGGTCCCTAATGTTCATGTAATATGTGTGTTAAGAGCAATGTCTGTACCTTCCAGAATGGTGATTAGTAAAACTATGAGGAATTAAAGGCTCTTTAGATGATATGGAGGTGAAGACAATTTTAGCAATTCAACCTTTTAGAAGAATCTTTCCAAGCCAAATCATGGTAGCTAACTCACAAAGACTGTCTGCTCTCACCAAAGGTACTCAGACTTCTGATTAAAGCAGGATTAGTGAACACAAGCTGCAGGGCTGGACAACTATTTGCACAGCTTTAGAGAATACATGACTGCAAAAGCCTTTGCTTGTTAAGCCACTGCTTTGACCACCAGTGAGAATGTGGAGTTGTGAAATGTAGCCTGAAAGACTTATTGACAGTAAAAATGGATGGAAAGTGATTTATGTCATTTGTGTTCAAAAAAATGGATTGAAATTCTGGAAAACAATACACATTTCCTACCACATTTTCAAGGGCTCTCTGAAGTACTTAACAGTTATATTCAGTTTAGAAGGGCTTTGTCACTCCTGATTTAGAGCCAGAAATACTGAAATTTATTGTTTCAATTTTAGTGGTCTTATATATTTTTAAAACAGCATTATGCTTATTGAACCATCTAGGTGAAAGATTCAATTGTACATTCCTAAAATGCTATGTCTACTTTTAGGAAGGCAAGAAAGAATATGCTGGGTTATTTTATTGTTTTTCTGAAGCTTTATCATTTCTGTGGGGGTGTTAGACACCAGGCACAAAATAAGAATCTCAGCAGCATATATAGAAAAGTTAAAAATACTTACATGTAGTTCTCTAATATTTATGAATGTAGAAGTCTTTTGCATACAGGCCTTTGTCCAGTGGAAGTTTTGATTTTGGTGTTTATACCAGTCATTTTTCTTGATTATACAAGTCTGTATTTACTGTTAATTTTAAAATATATTTGAATGTAGATTTCTCATCCTATGGCCTATGACAAAAACTTCAAGTAAAATATGCTGGGTTTATGGCTCTTACGTGCCCAACAAACTTCTAATTTTTGAACTTTGAGATATTTTAGCTACAAAGAATCAAAATATTCTTGACTTTGAAGTTTTGGGCAGTTTTTCATGGGTTTCAAAGTACTTCTGAACCCCACATAGTAAAGAAAAGCAGTGTTTTTGCTGGCAGCCTCCTCTCTAACTTCATTGACAAATATGAGATGCTCAAAAGCATGAAAGGTATCATGTTAGAACAACCATTCCTGTAGCAGCAACAACCAACCAAACCCCCACCAAACCCAGAGCAGTTTAGGTGCTCTGCAGAGGTCTGGTGACACCCAGGGCTGTGACCATGCCTAGCCAGCCTCCCACAGAGCTTCTTTTACATGGCAGTGAGTGAGGCAGCTCCAGAACTGAAGTTAAGGGCTATACCTGTTCAACCTTGCTCAGGAACAAGTCGTGCAAGGCTTCCCTGTGCAGCTGGAATTGTCCCTCTGTTGCTGTGATTCAGCTTCCAGGACCCAGTGTTGCGAAGTGCAATTGTGCCAGTTTGATTGGCATTGGATCCTGGTTTCTAACTCATTGCGTTACATTGACATGAAAATCATGTTTCTCAGTTTCAGGAACAAAATTTTGTGCTGGCTGCAACTACTGAGCACATCCCACATGTGTTTTTCACCATGCAATAGAGTTTGGGGGTTTCTAAACCTTATGCAGTAAGACTGATACAGAGATCACCTTTCAGTACATATCAGTGGAAGATACCTGGAAAAGTATGATCTAAGTCAGATAGAACCTGGAAATGAGCCCAGAATGGTCACCTTCTGTTTTCTCACACCACAGAAGAATACCAGACTGGGAGTTTTTGGGTTGTGTTCTATGTTTAGGATTTGATCAGAGAAAAAGCTCTTTCTCAAGAGGAACTGGAGTTTCTGTTGTCTGAACAATGGAAGCAGCTGCAGTTCCAAATCAATAAGGAAGGTGAGAACCCACTACTTCTACTCTTAGTTAAGATCACAATGAAAGGATGCCTGCTAAGGTTGGAGCAAGGCCTATTTAAGCTTTAAGAAGGCAGTAATATCAGTGCATATAGAAACTAACAGGAAAGATAGGTGGTAAGTATACACTTTGTAATTTCATAGGTCATGTCCTTTCATATCTTGCTGATGTGAAAGCCTAACTCCAAAGAGTTTACTAGGCAAAGTACACTTGCATGAACTATGGTGTTTACAAGCCTTTACAAAAAAATAACATCATAAAGAATCTTCACAACATTGGTATGTATTACAACATTGTTTCTCAAAAAATGGTGAGACATGATACTGGAATTTGTGGAAAATAAATCTAAGCACCAATGCTCTCCCTGTGAGATTTCCATTGCTTAAGCAGAAGTGTCAAGTCTGGAGTCAGGTTATTGGGATTTGGTTTGTTATCAAAATTATAAATACAATTATATCAGCATTTGTATCCAGTTATTGTGGGGTTAGCTCATGTTTGACAAATAGAGTACAGTTTGGAATTATTCCTATTATTTTAATGATCTCTTCCATCAAAGAGATCCCTTAGTGAAATATTGTTTTAAAATAGAAATGATGTTATGCTTCTCTTAAGTCAAGAGCAAAGCTCAAAGTAGTAAAAGTGAAATCATTTATACCTCACAGATGTAGTCTTAACTACTACTAAATAAGCAGAAAAGCTATGTGTCATTCAACAAAAGCCCTCTGCTTTCCTTCTGGGTCATGCAGGAACTAGTACCATTCCTGATCAAAGTCCATGGCAAACCTCCCATTAAATCTAGTTGCACTGGGCTTTGTTTCTCTCTGCAGGAGTACAGACAGTCCATGTCTCCAAAACCAGCAGCCACACTAAGCTGTACTTTCCTAGGTAAACAAAGCACCAAGAAATCAAATAAAACTAAGTAAGCAGCATAAAGCCACCCACCTAAGAGGCCCCTGTTTCCAAGAGCAGCCCAATTCATTAAACAGGCATGAGGACTTAGCCATTCTTTGCCTGATTAGGCGCATTTGGTTTAATTGGGTTTTCTTTCTGTGGACAACTTCATAGTTTTGTTTTTCAAATCTGCGCTTTCATGTTTTCCTTGTTCAGCAACTGGCGTCTTGTTTACCCCTCTACTGAATAGCTCACCTAGGGGAACAGCTTTTCTTTTATGTTTTCCCTCTGGCTGGAATGAAAGTAAGGGCATTATGAATGTGTGTCATTCACCACCTACAATAGCAAGTAATAGTACTTGGAGTTATCTCTGAAATGGCAAAGCATACTCACTTGCAAATTGGAAATGAAAACATCCCAATTTTTTGCCTCATTGTTGGATGGATGTCTATCCAGCCTTGCAGGATAGAGATTGCTAGTTCCCACCAGCTGACAATGAAATGAATACTCTGCAGGGGCAGAGATGCCAGAAACAATAAATTTAGCTAACTTGTCTCCATCTTGTACAATCTCAACTGAACCTAAAGTGGACCATCTTCTAGCCGAGACTTCATAGAACTTGTTGGTCATTAAAAACCTAGGAATACAACAGAGGACAAAAAGAAAAAGTCAACAGGTTAGAAGGAAAATATTAACATATATTTGATAAAGTAACAGATAAAGGCTCACTGTTGCTAGCTGCAAACATCACAGTTGATGATGACATGGGCTCCCATGTCATAAGATTGTTTCAAGTGAAGAAGTTCTGTGAATGTGTTTATTACTTACAGTTTCACCTCACAAGCACAGCTTTCTATAACTGTGGCAGGCAAGAAGCAAATGCAGTTTCATTCTTCAAGGGCCTCTGCCAGTCCTGTATTTCATCAGTTACCAACAGTTTATAATAATGGAGGCGAAACTGAGAAAGTGTCAGTAAGATTGCAGTGGCTCTGAATAAACATTTTATGGGATTTTTGGAAAATTGTTTTTCTGATAGCTATAGGCATGATAGCCATTCTAATTTATCATCGCAATTCTTTCTTGGCTCAAGTGCCTAAATGGCTATTTCCTTTGCAAAGGTCTGAATTTGGTGTAGAAGACAGAGCTTTCTCTCACTGGTGGGTCAGGAGGGGTAGTCAGATCTAGTTTCACAATTTGAAGTAGGCTAGGCACAAAAAACTATTTTATAATTTTGAAAGCATCTGTGTATGTGTAGTATTGCAGCAGTTTATAATGATGTAATTTATGTTACTACCAATGCAGTCTGAACAGCTCCCAGCAGACATAACTGAGAACATCCAGACATCCAGAAGTACATTCTGATCCTTTACAGATCAGGACTATTTGCTACTCTTTATCAGTTTTTATAAGTTACTTTTAGGCATTCAAGCTATTTAATAAGGAAATTATAAGCCTTTACCCTTACTGTACATTGTTTGATACTTTAACCCTACTTGGTTTATGCATGAGTATTTCTACATAGTTTGCTGATGATTTCTTTTGATTATTGGCAACCACAAAAGATTTAGAAGAGAAATCTATTTATCAATAAATAAGACTTTCTACAAAATGAAACATTCTAATATGTTTATCCATAATGAGTGACACTGTATGTTCACTTTAAAATTTGAAGTAGTAACTTAGATGCAATTATGATTGGTTCGAAAAAAAGTATAGTCATCTTAAAAGAGGCACAATATAAACTTTTTTATGTTCTGTAGGGTATATGTACATAGAGAACATATTCTCTCTGTAGAATATTGCTTGTTTGTTCAAATTAGTTACTTTCAATATTGTGTCATCCACACAGCATAGAATCTAAGCACAAATGATGCTTTTAAAAAATATTTATTAATAATCAGTGGCTTTTGATTCAGGTAAGTTCAGAAACATCAAGAGTTTCAAAATGCTCAAAAGGAATTCCAGAATGCAGTGTCATTGAAGTGACAAAAGGATGTTTTGTCTTATGGCATTCTGCAAGCATCAGTGAAAAAGAAAAAAAAATTCTATCCAGTCCACATTTGTAGATATATATATAGAAAATGTTCTATTCTTATACAGTTACAAAATTAAATTATTGCTAGAAGAAAGGAACCTTTTCCTGATGTACAGTACAATCTGAAGAGAATTGCCCCAGTAGCAATGCTATAGGCACTATATTAGCACTGTACTGTGTTTATAACTAGCTGAAAGCCAGTTATAAACACAGAGAAGATTACTCAAATGTTTATGACAACCACAGAGGCTGGGTGTGGTCTGTACTTTTGCTCATAAGATGAGAAAAGTGGTAAAGAAGGAAATTCCTTTTAAACTGACCTTATGAACAAACAGTTTTATAAGGCCATGCATGTGAGTACAGTCTAAAATGACTTTGAAGGGAATGCTGTCTCTTCATATTACACCAAAGACTAAAATGTTGTGTTACTTGCAGATTTATGAGAATTAACATTCTAATTGGTTAACTACTTGATCACAGTTAACTTAGTAATGAAGGCTGTTATCCTTAGCATTTTTCCAAACTAACAGTGAATAGCCTCCAACAAGCACACACTTAACTGATAATGGATGTAAATATAGTTCATGAAACTGTAAGAAAAAAAGGCATTCAAACAACGTAAAGCTATAGAATTACTTAATTTAGTTTAACATTTTCTCAAATGAGTAGATAGTAAAATAGAGCACATTATAGCAAATTAATCATACAGAGCAGAGAGAGAACAAAGGTTTTATCTGCAGAACTGAAAGTACCTTGGCTTCTTAAGGAAATGTTACGTTCGTGTTAAACATTAGAGACAATTATGTACATTATGTACTTTATGTATGGTGGCACAGAAAATTCCTGGTCATGGAATTTTTTGTGCCAGATAACTGTACGAACTCTGAATGCCAGCACCACTGATTGTGTCTCATGTGGCTAATCATTACAAGCAGAGGTATTTCTGAAGCAGAAGGTAGCTAGAATTACTATTTCAAATATTCAAAGAGAAAGACAACTGTTAAGCAAAAGGCTTTAAAACACGTTTTTTGGGTCAGCTCTGTTCTGTTCTATACATGGAGCAACAAGAGCAGTCAAGTATGTATCAATGTAAGTTTGGAATACTAATGTTGTGCACTCCCATTCACTTTGACACTTTCCCAGAGAAAATGACAGACAAGTGCTTGAACAGTTGGATCAGTTTATGAGAGAACTGAGATCTTGCTTCTTCCAGCAAAGGACTACTGCCCACTGCTCCCACTCCTGCTGCAGCAGTAGCTTGCTTTCCTAACACTATCACAACAACACTCTACAGGCACTCCCTTACAGCTCATCTCCCAGTGCAAGTGCAGGAGGATGAGTGAGACTGGCTCTTGCTAGAGAGAGTGAGAGGGAGGTGCCAGCTGTGTGTGTGTGTGCACAGGATGCAGCAGCAGCTGTCAGTGGAGGTGGGATGTGACCAGCTGCTCTGACTGGGCATAGACTGGTGTTGATAAGGGGGGCAGCCTCTGGATCCTGCTCATGCTGCTGAAGTTAGAATCTACCTTATTGAAGAATAAACTGAGCTACTTGAACATGGTCCTCTCTGGAGTCACTTTCAAGAAATGCTATCCTACACTTAGTAAAAGGCCTTTACAGAGGCAAAAAGGGCAGTCATGGCTCTCAGCTCTGTTCCTTCCACCTCTCTGCCTGGCTTGTATCCTGTTTGTTAGGCAGACCATGATCTTAGCAAGGTGTAATCTTGAAAAAGAAATCAAATCAAAATGAACCAGAGGGGAAAACAGAGGTTGCAACATATCTCCATGGATTTTAGAAGCTCTGACAAGAGACATGCTGAGATACACAAGGTGAATAAAGTGTTAGCGAATCATGAAAAAAGTCAATGGCTTGTTCTGGTTCTGTTCCATGAGTCTTATTATTTGCATTATACAGCATGCACTGCTATATTATGGTAGCTAACAGAGGCCTAACATGACAGCATTGTCCCATCAAGTGACAATCCAGCAGAAAACTAAAAATAATCAAGTGAGTCATTAGAATTATTGTTAATTTATAAAGGCTCAGAGGTGTTATGGGTTGATACCAGCCAGCAGCCAAGCACACATTCAGCTGTTTGCTCACTCCCCATGTTCAACAGGACAGAAGGGAGAATAGAAAGAGCAAAAATGAGGAAACTTGTGGGTCAAGATGAAGACAGCTTAATAAGTTATGGGGATAGGGGAAAAAAACCAGTACAGAGACAGTCAGTCTCTATCTCCCACATACAGGCCAAGGCATAGTGAAGGTCCAAGAAATGATTACCCTGGAAGCTACTCCCTGCATTCTTCCTCTATTCCATTTTATATTTCTAGCACCTGTGTCATAAATAAAAATTGATCAATTTAGACATATTTGTGTTTATTTGCCCTGAAGGTCTATTAAAAACCTGGATCACACATGGCCCAATGGAATAAATCAAATTCTCCTGCAAAACACAGCCAGCCTGTGCTACTCTTATTTACTTGGCATGAAAACATCCAGGACCTTACCTGAGCTCTCTTTTCAAGTCCTCACCTATTGTAGACCCTGAGTTTCTTATTCCAGCTTCAAGGGCTGTTTATGCATTTTAGTATTTAGCTATAATGTGTTCAAGCAGAGGCACAGGTCAAGAAAGACTTTGTGACTATTTCTGCCTCTACTGTAACAGGCTCAAAGGATATAAATTTGTTTCCTGAAAAAGAAAGAAAACATGAACCATTCACCTTTTGTACTGGCATTTTCGTTTAAATTACAGTTTGTCTGCAGAATTGCTCCAAATTTCTTCTCTCCAGATGCAACTCAGATTCATAACTGCATTAAATTTTTCATCCAATAATTAATTAAAATGAAAAATTTTTAACAAACAGATTACTAAACATAATTCTAAATAATCTTCACTAAATCCATGTGTGCACTAACATCACATTTGATCTTCTGCCAGCTGCAGAAAAAAAAAATCTAAGATAAATGTTTCAACTGCCAAAGGATTTTGTTTCTATAGTAATATCTCAAGGTTTGAAACTTGCCATTGTACAGTTAAGTGAAGCCTGTTGACTACTAAAGGAAACAACACCTTTAAGATCTAGCTGTGAACTAGTTTTGAAGCACAGTGTCATGCTCTATAGGATGTATTGTGATTTGTACTATTTTTTTGGAACTGTAATTTTACTAGAAAAGATTATATGCTGAGGGTAGCCATATTCAGGACAAATGTAGGAAACAACCACACTCATTCATACAGAAAGAGATTACAGCAGACCAGCTAAGACTTGTGCTAGGATGTGCCAAGATGAAGAATGAGCAGTGTTTTGGAGGGCCTGTCTCTATCAGAGTGGGAGAGGAGCACTAAAGAGCAGACAGAAGAGCATCGGGGCAGCACCAGTGAAAATGATATTCTGGGACTTGTAGTAAAAGGAAAAACACAGCTTGGGTAGAGTCTTGGTTTGAGATCAGTACCTTTTAAATGGCATCCAAGGAAAATATTTTTTAATTCCCCATGGTGTTTAAGGAAATACATGTCTCTTTGATAATTTATATGACAGACCAAGGCATGCTTGACACCATCACCTAGGACAAGTCCCAAGGATCCTATACACAGCTAATTTCAATAGTCAAAAAAGTAAAAATACTGTACTAACAGCAATCTGATCTGTACAGTATGTTCTCTGACAAAGCTCTAGCTGGTTGAGGGAGAAGGGAGATACATGTCTGGTCTTTTGCCACCTGTCATGATCTCTAACACTGAATACAAGTGTCTCTATGCACTCTGAATACCACTCCAAACACATCACTGACTCTCCTTAAGACAAGTTCTTTTGGGATCCTTTTACCTTAACACAGAATGTCTCTCTTGCCACAGTGGAAGAGATATGGTCTTGTCACCATGCATGGAGTAAAGACTTTAAAACTTTTTGCACCCCTCATTAACCACAAGCTAGCACTAACAGAGTGCACTGGAAATCCACATTAAGACTCAATACAGCCCTGGCCATGCAGGTAGACTTCAACCCCTCAAAGTTTTTCAAATCACAGTCAGATTTACCTGAGAGGACTGTGGAACAATCCTATTAGTAATACAGGAAGCTGCATATACCAGTACCTTATGGTATGGATGTTTGCCTACAATATTTTTTCAGAACTTTACCTGAGAATAATAATATATTTCCAGTATAAAGACTGTACTGTTGTTTTCCTCCATCATGACTCCTCAGAAGAGAAAGCAAATAATAAAGTAAAAAATATTTTCATTTAACTTCTCCCCTTTTTTTGTTCCTAGTTCCTTAACAGGCATTGTAAACCACAAAAGTAAAGGTCTATTTAAAATAAATCCTAAGTTACCTTATCTCTAGGCTGCTGATTCCATTCACTGGTCTTGTGTATTTTAATGACAGTCTAAGAATAAGAAACAGATTTTTAATGTTAGAGTAGTCAGCTTTAATTAGATCATTGTGACATTTCAATTTGAGGGATATATTGTAAATCAGTAGGCAATTACAAAAGTCATATAGCAAAGGTTCAGTACATAGAAAAATATGACTAAATATTTCTAGGGTTTTATTTACCCAAGAGCAGGTGCTTCAAAGTAAAGGAAAACAGAGATCATGTTTCATTAATGTACTTGTAGCTGAGTTACTACCTCGTAACTGGCAATACTCCCCTTTGAGGGAATGAAATTATAGTCTCATTAATGCCAGTGGAGATTTTTGTGATTGTGAGACCAGGCACAGGGAAACCTGTTTGGACCAAGTACAAACAAAACAAGGAAGTGGGGAACATGAGAAGAAAAAAATTGTGAAAATAATAGGCCTCATCTGAACAGTTTTTGTGGTCTTGTTTTAACTTCTTTCTTCTAAGAATAAATTTCTTTTTTATGTTTTGGATGCTTTAGAAGAAAACGATTAAAATAGCACTGATTTGACATAATATTTCTGAAATTTTTCTGAATTGCATGTATTATGAGATGAAATTTCTTATGCTACTCACGTTGTGTTGCTGTCTGTGCACTCAGAGGCAGAAATATCCACGTTCTGTGCTAAAAATGTTGCGTTTGTCAAATCTATTAAAACTGAATTGTTGGCTTTGAGGCTGAAATTACTAGCATAAAAAAGGATGCATGTATCATTTCCAATGGTTACATTCAGAGGAGGATATGATGAACTTTCTTCTTCCTCAGCAGCCATTAATTGTCGTCTTAATTCTGCCACCACATCAGTTCTTCTAGAAATCTGGAATAACAACACATTAACAATTCATCCCTTTGTAAGAGTCATTTCACTTGAATACAGACTTCACCATTCTGTACCATGAGCACCTGTTCCTCTTAAATCCTCAATGAACCTCAATAGTTGTTACTGTCTGTCTACTTGACCGGTGGTGTGGAGACTAAGGAGGCTCCCAAGGCCAGCTGTCCTCATGTGAAAATCAGCACCACTGATACTAGGCAAATGAATGTAAAACAATGTTGGTAGTGTTGCTTTAAGATAGTAGCATTCATTTGTGCTAACAGACAGAAGAATTTTTTTCCCAGAAGAAAATACTGAAAGAAATCAGCTTTTTTTTTCCTGCAATAACATCATGAGAAAAGTTCAACTTGCTAGTTCAGGGACACTCTCCCCTTAAGTAACAGTAACTGTTTTTGCAGTCTTCATTTTAACAAGCATGAGAGCAGTCTACTAAAAGCTACAGCAAGCTTATTTTTAAACTTTTCTGATGGCTTCTGGAAAAAGACGACCTTCACTCATTTGGGTGAACATCAGCCTACAAGAGACACATCTGTTTTTAGGATATTTCCAGGAATTTAGGATATTTGCATGAATATTTAGGATATTTCCACGAATTCTGCTTAGTAGGTAAGGCTTTTAAAAAAGGTGCCCAGGGCATCCTTGGTAAAGCAGCCCCACAGATATCAACAGTTAAAGCAACTTTACCACACAACAAATTTATTCTCTTCTTATCTTACTCCTCACTTCTTACTCTATTCATATCTGGAATATTCCACCTATTTTTGATTCCCATATCAGCTTTACAACCTTGTGTGCTACAAGTGGCCTCTACCCTTGTATAACTTTAGGGTACAAGAAATGAAAGGCATCACAAAGGTTACAAGGATTACTGTAATTATGTGGAGCTATTGCCTGGAACTCCTTTTCATGGGTTTAAAGACAGCCAATGTTGTAACCAGTGTAAAACGACAGGTTTAATGACAGTCAGATTTTCCAGTCTGAAACAGAGACTATAATATCACTTTATCACCTCCCTGTGGAGAGGAGCCCCAGAAGATTTTGTCACCTGAACGGCTGCTCTGTAAACACTATTGGCCATCTGTTATTTACAGCTTGTCTTTCCAGGTACCTCATTATATCAATTAAGCAGAAAGGGCTGCTTTAAAACCCTTTGACTAAATGCTCCAGTGAAGAATGCAGTCTTCCCCTCCCATACATGCATACTTTATGAATTTCTTTTTAATTCAGAGTAGTGCCTTTTCAAATACATCAGAACAAGCATTATTTTAAATGAATACCATGTTCTTTAAAAGAAGAGGGTACAACAAAAGAAAATATTCAACTTTTGATATAAAACTTTAAATCTTTCCTTAGACTTTCCTGAAATGTAATCATTTTATTTCAAATTGAGAGGAAAAGCTGAAGTCTAAATTATATCCTGTCTAACTATTGACTTTACTATGTGGGCCCCATGTATCATCTAAAGAGGGCTTTAAAAACCACCTGCTAAGAGCTGAAAACAATGCTACATTGGATACTGTGACTGGGATAACTTTGGGGATTAGGTCAAAGTACCTTAAAATAAAAGGAAAGCTATTAAAATATAATCATAACACTAAAGCTTTATTTCTATTGCTCTCTGAGCAGTCCTTTGCCATGAGGCTCTTAAATACAGACTCCCTTGTCTCTCTCAGAAAGCATATGACCCAAAAGAATGCAAACGTGGAAAGAAGGGCTTTCAGTGGCAAAGAAATTCACTGGTTTGATAGGCATAGGCAGATCCATCAGGTCAATACACAGCTCCAAGGTTGGTGTCAGTGGAAAAATTTTGCACTTGTTGACCACGGGATAGTTTACTCAACATGTGGTCCAGTGACACCTGACAGAATGTACCTGTCTCAGAGGGGAAGAGCTCTAGCCCAGGAGCCACTGGGGCTTGATGACAAAGCTTTAAATGAGTTTGGAAGGGGGAAAGGAACAAAACCAGGCTGTCCAGTGAAGAGCAATGAGATGGTGTGCCAAAACTTGGGGAAATGAGCATTAATGGGATCCCTCAATCTGCTTCCAACTCAGATATTCTGTGATTCTGTGAATTAAGCATGCTTGAAATCAGAGATATTTAAAAATTTAGTCTTCAGGCTGGAAGGAGGATCTCTGAAACAGCCCAGCCTGAGGCCCACTGAAGACCTGAGGACAGAAGCTGCTCCTTCCAGGGAACTGCAGTGGGAAGCTGAGAGCTTCCCCACTATGTCCCTGTTTCTCTGTTTAAGGAACATTTTCTTTTGTTGCTGCACAAACATGAGCTTACCAAATCAAAATCATTCTCAGATGTCATATACTTCATGCTAAACTATAAATTACAAGACATTTCCTTGACAAATGGATTATATTTATGCTGAAATACTGTAAATCAAATTAGATTACTTAGGAACAGTACATGGTGGAAGTGTTGCCAATCATTACACCATATTTAATTCTGTTTTTCAGTGTGCTCTTCTCCTTCAGCTAACTTGAACTGAGGGATGTGTGAATCACTGACTTATTCTCTGAATTTATCAATGGCATTTTTGATCCCAGTCATGCAGTGAACAACAGCAAGACCTGATTAAATAACATACAGAAAAGAAAAACAAAGAACTTTGGTTTTTTTTTTCCTAGACCTCAGTGGAATGTTGTAATTACTAACTGAACCTGCAATAGGTTGAAAGACTTCTTCCCTTTGATCTGTTTTTCAAGCCTCTCGATTCAGAATAATTTCTCTTGAAAACAAGAAAGGAAGCAGATCTGGGAACATTTTGATACACCAACATACAAATCTTTTTCAAAGCAAACAGACCTTACATACAAAATTACTTGTTTTGTTGTTGTTGCCACAGTTTTGTTGGCTCTTCCAACACAGAGTGGCTAGAGACAAGAAAAAAGATTTGGGGCCATTTTATACATTTGAAATTACACTTGAAAACAAATATAAATCAAACAGGTGAAAACACATATGAAAACCACACAAAATACTGTGAAAATGAAAATTTCATTTGCTGAAATGACAAATGGTCATGAACAACAGAAACAGACATTTTACACAGGTTACAACATGGGATTTCTGAATATCAGTTCAACAGACACTTGTGTCTTCTGTTTCAATCTTTTGTTTTTTGACTTCTTATTGCTACATTAAAGTGTGCACATCAAGAATAAGAAAACTGTCCTGGTGGTGCTTGCTGCTCCTTTTCATTTCTAACAGCATAGATTTATGACCACATCCTCTCTGTGGGATTGGTGCTCTTATTGAAAGGATATTTCTGTACTTTCAAGGAGGGAGGTTAGTAGGCAGAAGGGTCCATTCCCTTTCTCTTTTTAGGCTGTATCTTAGTTTAGCCTATACATCCATAATACTTTGTGCACTACAGTGTGTTCTCTGTATATACCTGACTTGGATGGCAAATGGCAATTTTTCCAGTTTTAGTCATAACCTGATTAATCCAGTTGTTAGTATTGCAAAACTATATAAGAAGCCCAGCTTCTACTAAAAAAAAAAAGTGCAGTATTAGAGCCAGATATTGCTTATTAGCATTGCACAGCATAGCACAAATGAAGAAAATAACCTGAAAATATTTAGGGAATGCATGTAGAGAGAAGTTCAAAATGCATTGTAAAATTGAGGACAAAGAATCTTTTTGGATCACATATGATGCCCTAAATCATGAAGCACAAGGTCCAAGGGCAGGTGCTGCAACTGCTAAAATTACACCACAAAGACAAATACCTTTTATCTGAACTGGATTTGGGGTTTGGTAGATGGAACTGCTCCTACATATCATGTACCAACTGTAATTCTTTTCACAGGATACCAAAAGAACTGTGTGCTTGCATTTTCTTCATTTGCCTTAATGGGGATCAACAAAAAAATTTTTTTGCAAGATATCCTTTAAAAAAATGACCTTAGGAGGCTGCCATGTGCTCAGTAGAGGGGTACTGCAAAATGGCAGATCGTGATTCTTTCTGGGGTTTGGCTGTGGCATATCAGAAGCTGCTCAGCATTAACATCCCAGCCAAGTATCAGCACATTTCAAATCCTTTTTTTGAAATTATCGTTTCAATATTCCTTCCCACACAAACAGATCAGTTTTCCTCCATGCTTTCTATTTGATATGGCCTCATGGTCTCACGATGGATAGCATCACGATATCTGCTAATACATAATTTTCTTGAAGGATAGTGTATCACGAATCTGTGATGCAGGCAATCTCACTGCTAAAGGTCAGCAATTTGAAAGGCAAGCATTAGAATTTGGCATAACTGAAAAAATGTTCTTTATGGTGTCAAGTTTACAAAATCACACATGCAGCAAACAGAAATATATTTGATTGGACTTCATTCTTTCACCTGTCAGTGGAAGCCTGTAACATAACAGTGCTTTAAGCTGTCAAAATCTAGAACATTAAGCAGAGTTACCAATTATCTCTATTTCTGAAACTTTTAACTGTCTACATTTTTATTATTTCTAACATTTTGGGATTTTGTTTTTTAATTCCCCTCTAGGCTGACTTGTGGCTGCCTCAGACCTGGAAGTGTTTAAGGCCAGGTTGAACACGGCCTAGAGCAACCTGGTCTACTTGAAGGTGCCTCTGCTCATGGCATGGAGATTGGAACTGGATGACCTTTAGGATCCCTTCCAACCCTATTTTATGTACTTGTACTGCAACTGTAAGCCTAAACAAGACACCAGAATAAATTTCAATAGCATATTGATATTTTTCCCAGAAGAATCCTTGACCTCTATTTCCCATCTCTATTATTACTCTGATGAAGCAGGTAAAAAAGAATGCACAGAAATGTGCATTCATTTATTAACAGTGATTATGATCATTGTAGTGCCTTGCACATATAACCAACCTTAATGTCTCACATTAGTATCTGATGAATATGCAGAGCCATGCACCTCTTGAACCATGCACACTTCTAGCAGCAAGCCAAATGGCTTGGCAACTGTGACACTCAGCTTG